GCCTGCGGCTGGGTCGGCGGCGGCGCTTTAAACTGGTGCGGCAGGCGGAGCAGCTGTGGCACTACGGGCACCTCTGCATCCGTTCCCTGCTCTTCAACTCCTTCACCAACAGCGATGTGGTGCTCGACTCCCTCTTTGAGCCCGTCTACTGGCTGGTAGACCACGTCACCCGCTGGTTCGGTGTGGTGAGTACCCTCTCTGGACGGAGGCCACCCCATTCTGGGGGCTGGGGTGAGCGTGCTGCGGGGCCAGCTGAGTCTCAGGACTGCCTGTGCTGTAGGCAGAAAGCGAGTGGGGACCTCAGCCTGTGGCTCAGCTTATTTTCCTGTGGCTGTATCCTGCCCATGCCTCTCCCCAGGTGAGGAGAGGCCTCTGGTGACCCAGGCCCCTTTTCCATAGGTGTTTGTGGCACTGGTGATCGGGCTGACGAGCTCCATTGTGGCCATTGTGTACATCTGCCTGCTGCCTCTCATCCTCCAGACCTACACACCTGCCTGGATCTGCTGGCACCTCGCCTACGGTCACTGGAACCTCATCATGATTGTCTTCCACTACTACAAGGCCATCACGACCTCGCCTGGGCAGACTGGCGGTGTAGCCTCTCCCAGCTGGGCACTGGGGACAAGCTATGGACAGTCACTGGGAACAGCTAAAACAGCCTGGTGGTGTCATTGCAGGAGGCCTCCTCCAGATCGGGGCAGCTAGGCTGGGCAGTGCAGTGAGGGGAGGCGGGGGGGTCACAGGGGAGGTGAGGAGCATGGGGAGCAGGCCGTGGGTGCCCAAACCTCTTCTGACCTGTGCACAGACCAAGGACGATCTCACCGGCGTCTCCATCTGCAGGAAATGCATTGCCCCCAAGCCAGCTCGCACCCACCACTGCAGCATCTGCAACAGGTAGGGCTCCCTCCCCTGCCCACCACAGCGCTTGGAGCAGCCTCCGGGACCTCTGTCCTTGTCCCCTGCCACCCTGTGAGGCAGGGGTCCCTCTCCCTCTGCTCTGCCAGCTTCTTGCCTCATCTCTAGCACAGCATGCAGGGCTGGGGGGCAGCCTGCCCCCTCCTAAGCATGGTGCTTGTGCTGGCACTGACACTGGTGCTGCTTTCCTCCCCACCAGGTGCGTGCTGAAGATGGACCACCACTGCCGTATCCTTCTGCAGTGCTAACCTGTGGCACTCTCTTGGGGGGAGCTGACTCTGCTTCCCTCTTCTTTCCCTGCCCCACTCCTCCTGAGTCAGCCAGCACAGGGAAGGGTGCAGGGGGCTAGGCCCAGAACCACTGCCCTGGTCCCTGGGGTGGGTTTGGACCCATGGCCCATCACAGTTACACACCTTTAACCCCAGAGGCAGCCTGGCTAAACAACTGTGTGGGACACTACAACCACCGCTACTTCTTCTCCTTTTGCCTCTTCATGACCATGGGCTGCATCTACTGCAGCATCAGTGGCTGGGAGATGTTCCGGGATGCCTACGCAGCCATCGAGGTGAGCAGACGAACCCCAGGCCCTAGCCCATGCCCGGCTGTGCACCAAGGCTGCCTGGGCTCCTCGGGCTGAGCTTGCAGAACAAGGCTGGCCCAGGCCTGGCCTCGTACTGACTTTGTTCCCCTCTTCCTTATGCGAGGCCCCCAGCTGCCCTGGTCCTGTGGGGCTGAGGGGGAAGGGCCTCCTCCTCTGAGACACATAACTGGTGCCCTGTTTTCCGTCCCCCTAGAGAATGAAACTGCTTGAGAAGGAGAGACTGCAGGTGGCTGCCAACCAGGTGGGACATCCGTGCCCCCAGCTGCTCCAGGCAGTACGGAGCAGAGCTGCCCTGCAGCCTGGGTCCTGCCTGGGGCCCTGCTCTCAAGGAGCACCCCACAGTCAGAGCCAGCCCCTGTGCTCCTCTCGTGTGTCAGAGAGCTGGGGCTGGCTGGGCAGCTCTGCTCCGGGCACTGCCTCCAGCAGCTTAGGGACTGCTTCCCTGTGCACCCAGTTTCCAGGGGCTTTAGCTGGTGGCAGCGGCTTGGCATGTGCTGCTCAGGCCCTGCACTCCTGAGGAAGCTGCAGCAATGCCTGCACATCTCACCCTGAGCATCAGCTGCAGTGTGGTGCAGTGTCCTGGCCAGTCCCAGAGCTGCTCCCTGCCCGTTTACGTCCAGCCCACTGCTTCTCACCCCTGTGCTGCCTTGCAGGTGTCTGTCTGTCTCGTGGCTGTCTTGGGCTGCCTTCCTGTTGTCCTGGCTGTTGTGTTGGTTCCAGCCACAGTCCTTTCTAAGCTGTCTGAACTCTGCAGCAGCAAGGAGTGCAGCAGTCTCCACATCTGGCTCTAAGCTGTAAAGCAGTTTGGGTAATTCCCCCCTCTCTGGTTCTTTTTCAGACGTACTACCAGACCCCACCGCCCACCTTCTCCTTCCGCCAGCGAGCTTTCCACAAGAGTGTGGTCTACCTCTGGGTCCTGTGCAGGTAACAAGGGCTGCGAGCGAGGCTGCTGGGTGGAGTGACATTGCTCACCCTCTGCCTCCCGGGGCTGGGCTGACTTGCTCTAGCACAGGTGTCCCTGCCTTGACAGCTTTTGGGCCGTAGAGGATGAGAGATTTTGTGTCTCTCTCATGGGGGATTAAACCAGCCCACCCACCTATGCAGCCATGGGCGGAGGGAGGCACCCTCAGCCCCACACAGCCGCGGCACCAGGGAAGGAAAGCCTGTGTACAACCTGCTGTCCCTTCTTGTCCCCAGCTCGGTTGCTTTGGCTCTGGGTGCCCTCACGCTGTGGCATGCTGCCCTCATCACCCATGGGGAAACCAGCATTGAGAGGCACATCAACAAGAAGGAGAGGCAGCGGATGCAGAAGAAAGGCAAGGTAAGTACAGCCTGTGGAGAGCGGGAGGGCTGGCCAGGCAGAGCCAGATGTCATGTGCATGTCCCCGGCCTGCAGGTCTTCAGGAACCCCTACAGTTACGGCAGCTGGGATAACTGGAAGGTGTTCCTGGGCGTAGATGTGCCAAGGTAAAGCTGCGGGGAAGTCTCTGCCTGGGAAGGTGTGGGCTCAGCAGTGCGGGGGGTTGTTGGGACACTGGGGCTCTCCCAGTGGGGCAGCTGGGGCTGAGCAGGACAGCAAGAGTCCCATGCTGTGCACTGCCCCGGGCTTTGCAAGGCATGGAGGAGCCTCGTGGCAAGCTCTGGCCAACCCTGCACTCCTTTGACAGGAGCCCCCCAGCTGAGGAGCTCGACCATAGTGGCAGCTTAGGGACTGGGGCTTGCACCTTTCACTGGTGGCAACAGCCCTGGCTCAGCTTTACAGAGCCGAGAACCACTGAGCTTTTTGCTGTAGCCTCATTCCTCTCCACAGGCACTGGCTTACACGTGTCCTGCTCCCCTCTCCTCACCTGCCTCATGGGACTGGCCTAAGCTGGGACCTGCCTCCCTGTGTGACTGAGCAGCGTGCACCGCTCATGGCCATCTGAGGCTCGGGTGCTGCAGCCATCCCTCCCCGCAGGCAGGGGAGCACACAGAGGACCCACTTCTGCCACTGCAGCTCCCTTTGGCTGTGCCAAGACAGATGCTGGCACGAATCACTGACCGGAAACTGTTTGGACTGTGCTGGTGCCTGGCTGTCTGCTCTCGGCTCCTTG